CAGCGCTGCACTGCTAGTAGAGCACTCAGTCCCGTAAGTTTCATTTTCCATTCTTAGAAGAGACCTCCAGAAGAAAGTGCGTGTGAATGGCGTCCGCAGCAGCACCGCACACTTTCCGTGGTGTTTCCCCAACCTCATCATCCTCCACCACTCGACCCTCCTCCCTCATTGTCCCCACCACCCGCTTCCTCCCCAACACTTCCCGTCGCCGCCTAGGCTTCGCTGCTGCCGCCGCCGACCCAATTTTTACCCACCATGTTGCCACCAAGCTCCGATCCCTCAAAGCCTCTGCCAAGCCTATCAGAGGCGTTGCCTCAATGGCCAAGAAGAGTGTCGGGGACCTCGCCGCCGCCGACTTGAAGGGCAAGAACGTCTTCGTCAGGGCCGATTTCAATGTCCCTCTCGACGACAACCAGAACATCACTGATGATACTAGGATTAGAGCTGCTATCCCCACTATCAAGCATTTGATTTCTAACGGAGCTAAGGTTGTCCTCTCCAGTCATTTGGTGAGTCACCAGACCACTTTACTCCAAGCTTTTCACTCTCCCACCTGTGCTGTATTTTTCATAATCCATGTTCAAGCGATGTCGTTGGAACTGCCCGTTGTTTGAATTAGACGCCAGACTGACCTCCCATTTTGTTTTTCTGCCCTTAAATCTATCTTGGAATTCTTTGAACTCATTTTTCATTTCGCTTGTAATTAATACACAAACACACACACACACACACACACATCTTATTCCTGATTCTGTCTTGCGGATTTAAATCTAAAGTTTCAAACTTGCACATTTATTTCAATCAATTGAACATTAATGTGCCCTTTGTATTAGATGTATTCAGTCATCAAGAATGGGTATGTAAAGTAGTATGATGATCGTTTTGGACTGTTGAGTGAGGATGAGCCAGCTTCCCACTAACCAAAGAGAGCTTGGCTGCTTATCTTCTCAAGGATTATTTTTAAAAAATAATAATAAATAAAGTAAAGTACGAAGTTGGTATTTTCTTAATATGATCTTGCAAGTTTGATCGTACCATTTCCTTGCACATTTTGGATGATTTGGTTATGGACATGGTTGGTTGTCTAATTCTTGCATGTATATGATCGCCTTCTCCTTTTGTTGATATCTCTTATAGGCTAGCACCCATCTTGCTTTGTTTTAAAATGATAAATGCTCTCCACGCTTCCAGGGCCGACCAAAAGGTGTGACTCCAAAATTCAGCCTGGCCCCTCTTGTCCCCCGCTTATCAGAATTACTCGGTATTCAGGTATATCCTTCTGCAAATTGCTCAAAACAATCTTTATTCTTTTTTTTTTTTTTTGGTTCCTGATGATACTTCCTTATGTTACCAAGGACTGACTGTCGTTTTACATGCGTTCCTTCTCCTTTACAAATGTTGAATAGGTTGTTAAGGCTGATGACTGCATTGGCCCAGAGGTTGAAAAGTTGGTGGCTTCCCTTCCTGACGGTGGTGTTCTTCTTCTTGAGAATGTGAGGTTTTATAAGGAGGAAGAGAAGAATGAACCTGAATTTGCAAAGAAGCTTGCCTCTCTAGCAGATATTTATGTTAATGATGCATTTGGTACGGCACACAGAGCGCATGCCTCCACAGAAGGGGTCACAAAATTCTTGAAACCTTCAGTTGCTGGGTTCCTCTTACAAAAGGTTTGCGTGCTTCATCTAACCTATCATAATGTATGGAGCATTCTGCAAATAATCTTGTGCCTTTTGTATTTCCAGATTGGTTAATCCACGTTACCTGATTAATGGTGCCAGTATTTGTTGCTTCCTTATGAGGTTCTTGTAAACTAGCGGTGATTTGTTCTCCTGCTGTTATAGGAGTTGGACTATCTGGTTGGTGCGGTTTCAAACCCGAAAAGACCATTTGCTGCCATTGTGGGCGGTTCAAAGGTTTCCTCAAAGATTGGAGTGATTGAATCACTTTTGGAGAAGGTTGACATTTTGCTATTGGGTGGAGGAATGATCTTCACATTCTACAAAGCTCAAGGTCTTTCAGTGGGTTCTTCATTGGTAGAGGAGGACAAGTTAGATCTTGCAACATCACTTCTTGAGAAGGCCAAGGCCAAAGGGGTTAGTCTGTTGCTGCCCAGTGATGTTATTATTGCGGACAAGTTTGCCCCTGATGCCAACAGCCAGGTCTGCGTCTTAAAGCTTTGCTTCTCTTGACGCATTTTATGCATTCTGTAAAAGATCAATGTCTTCATTGCTTGATCGAAATTGATGTTGATTATCAAAGATGCTAAGGTCTTCATGCATTGTTGGCAGAAATGGTGAGTTGAAAAACTGAAAGTTTGTGTTTATTATCATAGGTTGTGCCAGCGTCTGCCATTCCAGATGGCTGGATGGGACTGGATATTGGGCCGGACTCAATCAAAACATTCAGTGAGGTCTTGGAGACTGCTAAAACCGTAATTTGGAATGGACCTATGGGAGTCTTTGAATTTGACAAATTTGCTGTCGGAACAGAGGTAAAAATGCTTTGACACAGAATTTGGTTTCATTTGTTTTTCAAAGAAGTGTTAACAGACAGCGGGGTTGCAACTGTATTGTGTTGCGTAGTTGCGGGCTTTACGACTGGGCTTGCACCATTCTTGAGGAATCCCTGACTTGTAGCACTTCCGTTGTGATCCCTGCATTAAGTATTAAAATAGCTTGTGTATGCGTTAAAATGTTTTTTGCAGGCCACTGCGAAGAAGCTAGCTGACCTGAGCAGGAAGGGAGTCACAACCATTATTGGAGGAGGGGATTCAGTTGCAGCTGTGGAGAAGGTGGGAGTTGCTGGTGTGATGAGCCACATATCCACCGGGGGTGGTGCTAGTTTGGAGCTTTTGGAGGGCAAACAACTTCCTGGTGTCATTGCTCTAGATGAAGCTACTCCAGTTCCTGTGTAGGCAGAACCAAAGCTGATATATATATATATATTTCGACCTAATGCCTCTTTATGGTCTTTGGGTTTGTAAACGAGAGATGTAGGAAGCAGTGAGTTATTGTAGATGTTCACCTTTGGCTCAATGTCAGGTCTGATTTTGCCTGTCCTTTCCCAGATCATCTGAATAAAGTCACAAACTAACTACCAATATCGCAAGCAATAACAGTTGCATGTCTAAATTTGAAGTACAATCATCTTTTTCATTCTCAGTCATCTAATCCATTCTCTTATGCGGAGAGAAAACACATGTTGGTAGTTGCTTTTGCAAAATGATATCAGCACTCCTAAAAGAATCTCAAACACTCCTTTCATTTGCATTAGATAAAGTTTGAGGAGTGTGAGATTTTTTGAGGAGTGCTCGGATTATTTTCATTTCTTTCTTCTTCTTTTTTTTTGGGTCAGAGTGGCAAATTTTCATTTCTATTACCAATGAAAGTGTTTCTATTTACATCTAGACCAATATCCATCAAAAATAAGTTAAAGAGCTTAAACTATGTCGCTGTGAGATCCACAGCGGGGAGCTGTGCTTCCGCTGCACATCATGTACTAAGCTCGCAGCAAAATTGGTTATATTTTTCGCTACTCTATTTTCCTCATTTGAGCAATAATATATCCTACATGACTGAACACGTGTGTTTCAATCGTATTGTGTTTCTAACAAAATCTATATCCATAAATATATATAATTGTTTTTATTATTATGTTAGGAATATTAATTTTTTTAAACATTATTATTTTGTCTTAAATGGTACAAAATAAATAATAGAGTTAGCTAATGGTTTTAGGGACAAATAAACAACTTAAGAGGAAAATAATATTCGAGAATAAAGTGTAAAATGGTTATTACCTTAAGGGGATTTATTGTTATTAACTCTTAGGGATATCAATAGCTCTCTGTTTGGATCTATCAATTTTTTCAAAAATCAGTTTTTCAAATACTATAGAAATTTTTAAAAATTACTCTAAAAGGTACTCTAAAAAGTGAGTAGTCTAAATGTTTTTAAATGTTTAAAAAATATCCCAAAATATATTATAAAAACTCTACTACTCTTAAATATTCCAAAATATATTCTAAAAATATCTCAAAATATACCTTAAAAACTCTGCTACAGTAAAATATTCTCTTTTCCTCTACGCTGCTGTCCATCCCTTCCAAGTTCTTTCCCTCTCTATTTTCTTCCCTTGCTTACAGAAATGGAAATAGGTTGGAATCCAAAGAGATTGGCTTGGCCAATTTATCCACATAATTGATAGTGAATCTCTTAGGCAATTGATGATTCACAAATCTCCCCATGAAGATCTTTATCTATTGGCTTCCTAGGAGATGGTTTAGCTAGAAATAATCCCAGGAAAAACAATTAATTACTTTGGATGCTAAGAAATTAGGTTCTTGATTCTTTGGTGAAATATTCGGAATCCAAAAGGATATTAATTGTTAGCGAGGGGATTTGATTTAAATGATTTTGTACTCTGTCAGCGCTTCGATTGAACTTCCTGCAAATCAACGCAGGAAAGAAGGATGGAAAAAGAAACAAATAATTAAAAAAAAAAGAAAAAAGAAAAAAGGAGGCATTCCCATTCATAGCGGCGGGTACCAAACATCCGTAAATGGATATCGGAATCTTGAAAAAACCCATTATTATCATTGTGGGGGGGGGGGGGGGGGGGGGGTTTTTTTTTTATAGTGATCGTAATTGCTATTACATTACATGGTAGAAGCGGAACAGGCTGCAAATCTTCCCATATTTTTCCTTTTCCTTGCTCCGCAACTTTGAAACATTAAAAAAAAAAAAAGGAAAAATCTTCCCTCGCTTTCTTTTCTTTTCCCGTCAAATCTAAAGCAACCAACCTAAGCGTTACTGTTGACTAAGAAAGACCTTTTTTTGGGGTAAAATAGAACGATTTTTTTTCCCCCTTGTATCCTGCCCGAACTAAGATATAAGTGAGGCCTTGCCAAGTCCGGTAAACTCAAACGCGACGCAAACGCCAATAGATTGCTCTAGACGACGTCGTGCTTGCATCTCAGCTTCCGTAACCCGTAGGCGGCAAGGGGTTTTCCACTTAACCATTTCGGGTAGACTAATTATTACTAAATAAACTCTCACCGCGGGGTCTGATCCCTGGAAGCTCGTAGGCAGCAACCGGCAGGCAAGGGGGTTTTCCTTGACCATCATCCAAACCGCGGACGGCAGAGGAAAGCTCTCCATCGCATCCATCATTGTATGTTGTTTGCTTGGTCGTCTTCGTCTCTTTTAAGTTTCAATTCGATTCAAGCTTTTTACTATCTCATTCCTTTTTTTTTTTGTTGGGTGTATTTTAGAAGTTGAGTCAATCAATTTATCATTTCTTTTCATTATGATTGTGGCGCATTAATCACTGACATCATGCTAGTATTTGATTGTTGGTTCTCCCTTTGAAATTACACATACACGATCGGATTGAATAATACTACCCCCGGTATTACGATTGGAGATATGGCGGCACAAAGGAGCATGGGATCACTCAAGGAACCTGATCTCAAGGGGAAGAGGGTTTTTGTAAGGGTGGATCTCAACGTTCCTTTGGATGACAATTTCAACATCACCGACGACGCCAGAATCCGCGCCGCCGTCCCCACCATTAATTACTTGATCGCCTACGGTGCTAAAGTTATCCTCGCTTCTCACCTCGTTCGTCTCTCTCTCTCTCTCTCTCTAGTATCTGTACACTTGTCTACATTACCTTCTCAACGTTTTGGAGCGTTTTCCATAGATATCCATTGCTGTAATATTTCCTGTATTAGTCCATGTTATTACTACTTATTCAGAACAGTCGGTTTGAGGTCAATGCCAATTTGATTGTAGTTGATTCTTTTTTTTTCTTCTAATGTATGATTCTGCAATTACGTCGTTCAATGTTACGCCAAAATGTGTTTTCAAATTAATGGCAATTCTATTCGCCTCAAAATTTGGCTTTTATTTGTTATTATTATTCCGATTGTTTCATTGGACATCTTATACTAGAGAAACTTTGATACTTGCAAATTATAATGATTACATACTTCACAGAAAAAAAAAAAATGGTTCATTGTATGCCAAAAAAAAAAGAAAAGAAAAAGAAAAATGGATGATCATATTTTAGTACGACAACTGTTGCACAGTTCAAACTTTACTTGTAAACGTATAACCTTTTTTGATAGAAATGAGTGGCCCTCAATGAACTTGGTTTTATTGTCTTGTCTTGGATTTTATTGAGCATTTTTCATGTAAATTACTTGGGTAACAAGTATTACATGGATAGCATAATTATTTTATCCCCTTATTTATTTTCCATTCTGGAGTTTAGAGGTCCTGCTTGCGTTTTGCTTATGAATGGTGGTTATATAGCTTTTGTAATTGTCAGCTTTTTGGCATGGAGCAAATCAAATGATGTATTTGCCTGGATATTGATGTCAGGGATGCCCAAAAGGTGTCACCCCAAAGTACAGCTTGAAGCCCCTTGTTCCTAGACTCTCTGAACTCCTTGGGGTTGAGGTCTGTTGTTTAAGTGTACTTCCATGTTTTGTTTTTTCTTTCCTTTCCCCCCTTAATTTTGACAGGCTAAGGGGCTTTCTTTCGCAAACCTTCTATATCTTCACTCAAATAGGTCAAGATGGCAAATGATTGTATTGGTGAAGAAGTTGAGAAATTAGTGGCTTCCTTGCCAGAAGGAGGTGTTTTGCTCCTGGAGAATGTCCGGTTTTACAAAGAAGAGGATAAGAATGATCCTGAATTTGCAAAGAAGTTGGCTTCTCTTGCAGACTTGTATGTTAATGATGTTTCTGGAACTGCACATAGAGCCCATGCTTCCACCGAAGGAGTAGCCAAATATTTGAAGCCCGTTGTTTCTGGATTTCTGATGCAGAAGGTTGGTTTTTCAGTTGAGCGACTCCTTTCACTTTCTTCATGGCACATGCATTTGCAGAGTAACGTTTGTCCTGTGCTTTCCTGCCTCAGGAGCTTGATTATCTCGTTGGAGCTGTGGCAAATCCCAAGAAACCATTTGCTGCAATTCTTGGTGGTTCAAAGTTCTCAACTAAGATTAGTGTGATCGAGTCGCTGTTAGATAAGGTTGACATCCTTTTACTGGGTGGTGGAATGATCTTTACATTCTATAAGGCCCAAGGGCACTCTGTTGGATCCTCACTTGTGGAGGAGGACATGCTTGATCTTGCCCTATCATTCATCGAGAAGGCTAAGGCCAAGGGAGTTTCCCTGTTGCTTCCCACTGATGTAGTTGTGGCTGACAAGTTTGCTGCTGATGCAAACAGCAAGGTTGGAAATCAAAACTCACCCCCCTCTCTCTCCGCCCACTAGGATCAAACAAATTGACACTTGTTGTCTAACTAGTTGATGCTGTATGTTATATCTCAAGTCATTGATATGGGTTGAAGTAATTAATTTCTAATTCTATACTGTAAGAATTGGTTGCTTTTTATGGTTTTGAAAAGGACCCAAGCTTTTTTGCAGGTTGTTGCAGCTTCTAGAATTCCTGATGGTTGGATGGGGTTGGATATTGGACCTGATGCTATCAAGTCATTTATTGAAGCTTTAGATACTACTAAAACCATTATTTGGAATGGACCAATGGGGGTTTTCGAGTTTGACAAATTTGCCACGGGAACAGAGGTATCATTTGTCTCGGATTTTGCAGTAGCGTACATCTGTTGCCTTTTGCGTATGAAGTAAAATTTTGTGTTTGATGATCTTTTCATGTTCAGGCTATTGCAAAAAAATTGGCAGAGCTTAGTGGCAATGGAGTGACAACGATCATTGGAGGTGGTGACTATGTAGCTGCTATGGAAAAGGCAGGGTTTGCTGATAAGATGAGCCATATCTCAACAGGTGGAGAAGGTGGTTCTGCAAGCTTGGAATTCTTGCCCGTGAAGATGCTTGAATAGTTTTTTTGTCCTATTTTCCCAAATTGCGTACCATACATAACTCGGCATATCTCAGCATTTTCCCTGAGTGGATTAGATTTTAAAAATTAGTTGGCCCTGTAGAGTATAAATGGAAGTTTGAATAAATTTCACTATGGGCTTGACCTCCTGTTATGCATTGCTTAGTGCCAATGTTCTCGGTGTTTTGAAACTACTGCAGTGAATGAGGTTCTTTGTGCAATAAGTGGTTGGTATTTGGCAGGTCTGTGGTCATACATATTCTGTTTCATTTTCTGATCAAAGATTTCATTGAAATGAGGTTTTTTAATTTGGTCATTTTTTGTCTTGGATTTTGTGCTGGTGACGCCTTATTTCTGCATAGCCCAAACGTTATAATCAGACTCTATGAATTTAGACATCTTCACTACATTTTTGTGTAATTATTAATTACTCTGAAATACATTTTTTTTTTGTGTGTGTTTTAATAATCCCCCCTTTTGTCACTCACAAAATTACATCTATTTTGTCTTAGGGAGAAGAAGAAAAGAAATAGAAGAGGATGAGAGACAGACGAGGAAAAAGGGGGAAATGGCGGTGACAACTTGTAGTACTGATGGAGAGCAAAAAGTCTTAGCAGCTGCCCAACACATCCTCAAGAGCCTTAACTCTTCAGCAAACATTAACACAGATGATATGATTCTTCTTTTTTCGTCAATCGACGCCCGTTTTGCTAATCTGTCTAACATCATGCAGACATCGTCAGCTTCTGCCGCAGCTGCAGCTGCGTCGCCCTCTTCAACTTCCTCTCCTTCTGTCGTGGCTGGCGGCAGCGGTGGTGCTGGTGGGTGGGATGACAACATGTCGTCTTTTTCCCCCAACAGTCAAGCCGATTTGCAATTGGAGGCCGCTGAGGAGCTGATCCACCGGTGGGACTCAAATAGCGATGAGTTTGTCATTGATGATTATTTTCAGGCTGTTGATTATGTTATACAGTTGATGGAGGACTTGGCTTTGGAAAGTGTGGAATTGGAGCGGGTGGAGAATGCTCTGCAGTTGGCTATGTCAAGGTTGGAAGAGGAGTTTCGTCACACCCTAATCCAGAACACGGTTCCTCTGGATGTTGAGAGGATCGATGAGTTCTTGGTTCGCCTCACTTCTGACTCCTCCTCCACTCCTGCAGATGGAGTTACACAGATTCCTGATTTGGAGTCTAGCAGCAGTGGGGTTTGCAGTTTTGCTGATCATGGCGATAATGATGGAGATGGCAATGACAATGAGGGTGATGGCGACGGCATTGTCTATTGCAGATATAATCGCCATGTGGCCAAGGGGAGTGTGGGGAGTGATGAATTATTTCATGATTTGGTAAACCCTGATGCTATTTTAGATCTCAAAGGAATTGCTGACCGAATGATACGTGCAGGATATGAGAAGGAGTGTTGTCAGGTGTATTCGAGCGTCCGTCGTGATGTCTTGGATGAGTGTATGTCAATTTTAGGGGTTGAGAAGCTTAGTATCGAGGATGTTCAGAGGATAGAGTGGAAGTCTTTGGATGAGAAAATGAAAAAATGGATTCACGCGCTGAAAATTGTGGTCAGGATATTGTTAACCGCTGAAAAGTGCCTCTGCGAGGAGATTTTTTCTGGTTTGGATGTTATTGAAGATGTTTGCTTTATTGAGGCCACCAAGGGATGTGTGATGCAGCTATTAAATTTCGGGGAAGCAGTGGCTATTGGTAGAAGGTCATCAGAGAAGTTGTTCAGAATTCTTGATATGTATGATGCACTTAAAGATGTTTTGCCTGATTTGAAGAAGCTTTGCAGTGATAAAGAAGCAGGTGACATGGTATACAGTGAGGCTCAGGGAGTTGTGGATGGGTTGGGTGAGGCAGCCATTGGGACTTTTGTTGAATTTCAGAATGCTGTTCAGAATGAGAGCTCGAGGAGGCCAATTCAAAATGGTGAGATTCACCCCTTGACGCGTTATGTAATGAATTATGTGAAGTTGCTCGTTGATTACAGTGATACACTTAATGCATTATTGGAAGCTGAATGTGAGGATGCAAAAGAAGCAGAAGCCAAGGACGCAAAGGTGGTTAATGATGGTGAAAAGCTGGAGGCCAAAAACATGAGTCCAATAGGACTGCGTTTGCTGTCTTTGATCTTGTCCTTGGAATTGAACCTTGACGAGAAGTCAAGCATGTATGAGGAGGAAGGGCTGAAATTTGTGTTTCTGATGAATAATATACTTTACATTGTTCAGAAGGTTAAAGATTCGGATCTTGCAAAATATTTGGGTGATGATTGGATCCGGAAACGTCGTGGTCAGATTAGAAAGCATGCAACAAGTTATCTTAGAGCATCATGGAGCAAGGTGTTGTCTTGTTTGAAGGACGAAGGGATTGGAGGGAGCTCAAGTAATGCGTCGAAGGTGCTTTTGAAGGAGAGGTTTAAGAATTTCAATGCTTGTTTTGAAGATATTTATAGGATACAGACGGCTTGGAAGGTCCCTGACTTGCAACTTAGAGATGAGCTTAAGATATCTATTTCAGAGAAGTTGATTCCAGCTTATCGTTCCTTCATGGGGAGATTTGGGAGTCATCTAGAGAGTGGCAAACATGCTGGAAAGTACATAAAGTACACGTCTGAGGATTTGGAGAATTACTTGTCACATCTATTTGAAGGAGTACCTCTGATTCTACACCACATGAGAAGGAAAAGCACCTAGAGAGCAGAAACGATGACGGGTACGGATCCTACTTTCAGCATGGACTAGTAGTACATTTCATGTTTGGTAATTTGTCCTTGATTTTGTTAGTTTGAATGTAATATATTTAGCTTTGCTTTGTGAAAGGTAGCCACACTTTATAACACATCCTGTAATAATTCTTTGTATGTACAATATATCCTATTTTGTGAAATTAATTATGCTTCATGCTTTCAATGCTGCTGCTTAACTACACTACAAACTAATTTTATATAAAGTTTCAAACTTGGCACAATGATTTAACAGGTTTGAATTTATTGAAAGTTTATGTGTTAGTCTTATGGATGTATTCAGTCTTCAAGGTTGTTTACATGGAGCACTACGATTATTCTTTTGGACTGTTGGGTGAGGATGAGCCAGCTTCCCACTAAGAAAAGAAATCCCGGTTTGTATCTAGATTCAAGGATTATGAATTTAAAAAAGAAAGTATGAAGCTGATATTTTCTTTGTATGATCTTGCAACTTAGAGTTATCATTTCCTTAGATATTTTGGATGATTTGGTTATGAACAAGGTTGGTTGCCTAATTCTTGCATGCACATAATTGTCTTCTCTTTTGGATCATGTCTTTCATTGCATTCATCTTGATTTGATTCACAAATGAACAAAGCTCTCCACGCTTCCAGGGCCACCCAAAATGTGTGACTCCAAATTTCAGTCTGGCCCCTCTTGTCGCGTGCTTATCAAAATTACTTGGTATTCAGGTATGTCCTCTCAAAGTAGGCTACAATTCACTTAAAATAATTTTTTTTCTTTTCTTTAAAGCAAAAAGAAGTTGGTCATATGATACTTCATTTTGTTATGAAAGATTAAATCTTGCTGTACGTGCGTTCTTTCTCCTTTAGAATTGTTGAATAGGTTAACCTGAATATTCAAAGAAGCTTGTCTCATTAAAAGATACACATGTTAATGCTACATTGGTACTGCACACAGACCGCATGCTTCCACAGAAGGTGTCACAAAATTCTTGAAACCTTCAGTTAGGGGGTTCCTCTTACAAAAGGTTTGCTTGCTTCATCTAAGCTATTATTCTACAAACAATCTTGTGCATTTAAAATGCCACATTGTGAATCCATGTTACCTGATTGATGTTGCCAGTATTTGTTGCTTGCTTCTGAGATTCCTGTCAGTTGATGTTAATTTGTTCTGCTGCTGTTATAGGAGTTAGGTTCACTGGTTGGTGCCGTTTCAAACCCAAAAAGTCCATTTGCTGCTGGTGTGGGTGGTTCAAAGGTTTCCTCAAAGATTGGAGGGATTGAATTGCTTTTGGAGCAGGTTGACATTTTGCTTTTGGGTGGGGAAATGATCTTCACATCCTACAAAGCTCAAGGTCTTTCAGTGGGATTGTCATTGGTAGAGGAGGACAAGTCATATGTTGCAACATCACTTCTTGAGGAGGCCAAGGCCAAAGGAGTTAGCCTGTTGCTGCCTAGTGATGATGTTTGTTGTAGGCAAGTTTGCCCTTGATGCCAACTGCCAGGTCTGCTTCTTAAAGCGCTGCTCCTTTGGAACTTTCTATGTGCATTCTGAAAAGATTAAAATTCTTCAATTGCGTGCACCTTATTATGCTGATTATCTCAGATGCTTTGGTCTTCGTGCATTTTTGGCCCAAATAGTGAGTCGAAAAGCTGAAAGTTTGTGTTTATTATCATAAGTCGTGCCGGCATCTGCTATTCCAGATGGCTGGATGAGACGGGATATTGGACTGGACTCTCTCAAAAGATTCAGTGAGGTCTTGGAGACTACAAAAACTGTAATATTGGATGGAGGCCTTTGAATTTGTCATCAGAACCGAGGCTTGTAAGCTTGGATATGGAATTTGGTTTCATATTTTTCATGAATGCGTCGGATAAGATTAGCCCTTGGGTTGGGGGGTTGGGGAAAGAAGGCAAGATGGAAGCACTCTGGTTGGATTGTCTATTACGAGGTCAAATGAGATCAAGATACTTTTGTTATACGAAGAATTGCTAACGGAGAAAGGCGTTGCAACTGTACTATGTTGCAGGGTTGCGTGTTTTGCGATTGGGCCTGCACCTTTCTTGAGGAATACTTGACACGTAATACCGTTATTGTAACCTGCATTAACTATTATAATAACGTGTTTTTTCTCTCTTTTTTTTCCCTTGTTTTGGTGTTGGGGAAGGAGGAGAGGAGGAGGAGGAGGGGGGTTGGTTAACGAAAGGAAGATTATGTTGTCGATAGAAATGCAAATATTTTTTGCAGGCCACTGAAAAGCAAGCAAGCAGACCTGAGCGCAAGGGACTCAAACATCACTGGAGGAGATTCGATTGCAGTTGCGGAGAAGGTTGGAGTTGCTAGTGGGCCAATGTCCACCGGGGATGGTGCCAGTTTGGAGCTCAAGTATGATTGCTCTTGACCAAACTACTCCAGTTCCTGCGCAGGCAAAAACCAAAACTAAAATTCTTGTTAAACCTAATGCCTTTGTTTATGGTATTTGGGGTTTGTAAAGGGGAGATGTAGGAAGAGAGGAGTTGATTTCGATGTGCGCATTTGGGTGAATGTAAGGTCTGATTTTGGCCTGCCCTTGTGAGATCATCCGAACAAACAAAGCGAAATGGTAAGCAAAGTTTTATTTTGTACCAAGAGCAATTTTATTTTATGTTTTGGGGGAAAAAGAAAAGAATCCGTAACCGCAATAAACATAAGGGGTTTTGATGGAGTGTCGGACTTGGGAACGTTTTGGAAGCTAGGAGTTATTTGGGAAAGAATTGAAATCGTAGTAGCTGAGCGCGCTGAATGATGAACCGACTCTCGGACATTGTAAATTATAGTTGCAAAACCGGTAATTAAACAACCTCTGGTGGCTCCCCCACCCCCCCAACACAAACAAAAACCCGAAGGATCGATAAAAGCGTATAGAACCAGGAAACCGCAGCAGCAAGCCATCCATTCCAGCTCTTGATATGTCATAAAAAAACTAGATCGGAGTACTTGGAAATGGATGGACGGCACTGGACTCCCTAATATGGCGGAAATTGGTGGGGGAGATTGGTTCCAATGGGCCTAAACAAAACCACTGGCTAGGCGAAGACGGAACGGTTCGAAAGTTTCTTGACCCAAAAACGAAAGATGGGAGCAGAAGTTTCTAGATTCTCCTTTCCATTCTGAAATTCTAGCCAAAACTACTGGCTGGACGAAGACGGAATGGTTCGAAAGTTTCTTGACCCAGAAGACAGAAAACAAAACATTGGGTAGCAGATTCTCCTTTCCATTCTCAATACCACTCTAGTCTGCCACTACTACCGTACTAGCAGTAGTATATGAGTAAGTAGTGGGTGTACGTAATTGGCACTCTCTTTTTATTAGTGAAGTTTAAAACCTCCATCACCATCACCTAAGCCGCGGACAGTAGAGTGAAGCTGTTATAAGTCTCCCAGCATCTCATCCATCAGTGTGTATGTTTGCTTGATCGTCATCGTCTCTCCCAACTCTCATTCAATTCGAGCTTCCTAGTATTCTCTTTTTCTTTTCTTTTTTTTTTTTCTTTGGTTTTGTTTTGGGTGTAGTTTAGAAGTTAAATAAATCAATCAACCAATCAATTTATCATTTTTTGTCCCGTTAGTTTTGGTTTACTCATGGAGTAGTAGTTACTAACATGTAATCCAATCAATTTTTTTGCTGGTTCTCCCCTCCCATCCAGGTTACAGATTCAATCATCGCCCGGAATAGCAAGTAGTACTAACAGTAACTAGAATTACAGTAGGTATGGCGACGAAGAAGAGCGTGGGGTCACTCAAGGAAGCTGATCTCAAGGGGAAGAAGGTTTTTGTGAGGGTGGATCTCAACGTTCCTTTGGACGACAACTTCAACATCACCGACGACACCAGAATCCGAGCCGCTGTCCCCACCATCAACTACTTGATCGGCTGCTCCGCTAAAATCATCCTCGCTTCTCACCTGGTGCGTATATATCTTCACTCCCTTACTATTTTCTACATATTCTTTGCTGCCGCATTTCCTGTTTTAAGCCCATGTTAGATGTTACTACCATTCTTCCTGATCACTTGAAATTTTAGATCAATGAATATTTCATTTTATTCGGTCCTCTCTTTTTTTTCTTTTTTTTTCCAATTCTAAATTTTGCTCTTATTTTATGGCTCTGCAAATATGTCTTTCTAATGCCTTTATGTTTGTTAGATCAAGTGTTGTTGCAAAAAAAGACATTAGACCCCCTTTTTTTGTGCTACGAAGCTACGGGTTAACTCCTCAACTGATGTGTCAATTCTCTTTACTCCCTCTAGCCGGCCTGAGTGAAGGGAGGGTGCCCCAACTGGCTATTGCAGTTAGGGGCAGTCAAAAATGTACTCCAGGCTGTCCCCGTGAGCCCAAAAGACGTGAGGGGGAGAATAGACAAAAACAGTGAGTGAACCGGCAATTATATGATCATCTGGTCTTCTTTTTTGCATAGAATGAAGCTCTTTTTTTTTGGGGAGTACATAATATTTGATTCAATCACTATAAGTATCCAAGTTTCTCAAGTATAAGATGTCAAATAAAACAATCGGAAACAAGAATGAACTTTTTTTATTTGATCATCCGAATGTACTTGTTCTATTGCCTCGTCTCGGGATTATCTTGAACATTCCTTACATAAATTGCTTGGGGGTGAAGTGGTGAACTCCGTGGATGCCATATTATTTGTATTCACTATGAATGGAGGTTATTTGCTCTTGTAATTGTCAGCTTTTTGCTTCGTAGCAAATGAAATGATGTATTTGCCTGGATATTGGTGTCAGGGACGTCCAAAAGGTGTCACACCAAAATACAGCTTGAAGCCTCTTGTTCCCAGACTCTCTGAACTCCTTGGGGTGGAGGTCTGTTGTTTAGCGTACTTCCGAATTTTACTGTTTTTCTACATTAATTTTCACAGGATAAGGGGGGCTCTCAGCACTTACCTTCTATATCCACACTCAAGTAGGTCATTATCGCAAACGATTGTATTGGTGAAGAAGTAGAGAAATTGGTGGCTTCCTTGCCAGAAGGTGGAGTTTTGCTCCTGGAGAATGTCAGATTCCACAAAGAAGAGGAGAAGAATGATCCTGAATTTGCAAAGAAGCTGGCTTCTCTTGCAGACTTGTATGTCAATGATGCTTTTGGAACTGCACATAGAGCCCATGCTTCCACCGAAGGGGTAGCCCAGTATTTGAAGCCTGCGGTTGCTGGATTTCTGATGCAGAAGGTTTGTTTTTCACTTTTGAGTGTTACTCTCTTCGCGCACATGCGCTTGCAGTGTAACTTTTACCCTGTGCTTTCGTTCCTCAGGAGCTTGATTATCTCGTGGGAGCTGTGGCAAATCCCAAGAAACCATATGCTGCAATCGTTGGTGGTGCAAAGGTTTCAACCAAGATTGGTGTAATCGAGTCACTGTTGGCTAAGGTTGACATCCTCTTACTGGGTGGTGGAATGATCTTTACATTCTACAAGGCCCAAGGGCACTCTGTTGGATCCTCGCTTGTGGAGGAGGACAGGCTTGATCTTGCCCTATCCCTCATTGAGAAGGCCAAGGCCAAAGGAGTTCCCCTGTTGCTTCCCACTGACGTAGTTGCGGCTGACAAGTTTGCTCCTGATGCAAACAGCAAGGTCAGAAATCAAACCCATCTTTGACTCTCTTCCCCCCTATGCCCAAACTTGTCGAAATAGTTGGCAAGAGCATTGATATAGATTGAAGTAGTTAGGTTGTGATCGGGTATAGTAAGAATTGGGTGCTTTTTATATATATTTTTTGAAATGGATCAACTCATCCTGCAGGTTGTTCCAGCTTCCGGAATTCCTGATGGTTGGATGGGATTGGATATTGGACCTGATGCTATCAAGTCATTTAGTGAAGCTTTAGATGCCACTAAAACCATTATTTGGAATGGACCAATGGGGGTTTTCGAGTATGACAAATTTGCCACAGGAACAGAGGTTTGACATAGTAGTATTTAATTGTACCTTAAAAGGTACATTGATGGCGATTGCATATATGAAAAATAAATGCTTTATTGATGTTGTTTGTATGTGTCAGGCTATTGCGAAAAAATTGGCTGAGCTTAGCGGGAATGGAGTGACAACAATCATTGGAGGTGGTGATTCTGTAGCTGCTGTGGAGAAGGTGGGGCTTGCAGACAAGATGAGCCACATTTCAACAGGTGGCGGTGCAAGCTTGGAACTTCTTGAAGGGAAATCTCTCCCTGGAGTACTTGCCCTTGATGATGCTTAGAAGAGCTCTTTTTTTTTTTTTTTTGTTTGGCAATACGCCTACCTCAGATATTCGCTGCATATCTTGCTTTGCCCCTGAGCGGATTAGATCTTGAAAAATAGCTGGCCGTGTCTTGGAAATAAATTTTGCCCGTTGTTATGCATTACTTTGTGCTAATGTTGGTTGGTTCTGAAACTGCTGCGGTTTTTGAGGTTATGTTTGCTGTTCGAGTTTGCGACCATAATCGAATCCTGCTCTGCGCTGCTGCTAAGCTATAAACTTCGGTGGGCGGACAATAATGTCAATCACTTTTAAAAGATCTTTATGAGCACTGATCCAGCTCTTATTCTCATGTAAGGCGGTGCGTGTACATTATACCGGCGGTTGCTAGACTGGCCGCAGTGAATGATCCGATCCGTTAGAACTGGATTTGCCTCCGTGGACAATTGACGTTGACTTCCCATCGTTTCAGGGAAAAAAAAGGACAATGACGTTGACTTGTAGATGCGGCATGGACATGGAGAAGGAAGCAGGTGAACTCCTAATTATTACAGTAGTACTTATGTAACCAGCCGGTGATAGACAAAATTAATGAATGAATCCGTCAGCAAAAGTGCAAGCAATTTAGCATCCCGGGATTTTTTTTTTGGTTGTGAAACGAGGACGATCTTGACCCGACCCGAGATACGGTTGTTGTCCCGCATGCGCGACCCGCCTTGTGACTGGTGAACTATATTATATACCAGTATATTATTTTTTTCAATTTAAAATTGGTTTCCGTAGGAGGTTTTAGCCTTCGCCGCGGCCGGTGCTGTAATCAGGAATCACGATCGAAGAGGATGACGTCTGGCCTGGCCATTCACAATATTATGATGCGTATTTGCTGCCATACTGCGACTGCTACGATTACTAGTAGTCGTCGTCATTTATTCTCCAAAAGTTGTAGTAATATCCAGTCGGCGTCGGGGTGGGGCAATCTCAAACGCTTTCTGTCTCTGCGACCGCCACCGCCACCGCCAACGCTACTGCCTCACTGCTTTTCTTCTGCTTCGTCCTTATCCTCCATCACAGATGCATCCTCAGTTGCAACCACTTCCACTCCTGCTCTTTCAGGTAAAGGTTCTTACGTTCCCTTCTCTTATTGTTCCTTTCCGGGCTTTAGCTCCACCACTGCTTCTTATTATTATTATTATTATCATCATTAAAATATTATCTTTTCTTTAATATATGGTTTTGTGGATTAGAGGAGGACGTCATGATGGGATATGTATTTGGGAAGAAGAAGGCCACTCAAGTTGCTCACTCGTCGGTATTCCTCCCTCTTTTCTTAAGTCTTCCACTTTCTTTTTTCGCTTCGTTTTTTTCAACCTTTTTTTTTAATAATTATGTTGGTTGCTCTTTCCTTGCTTTGTACTAACACTAGTACTCTATAGGAAATGATTGATGAGCACCCCGTTTAGTTTCTTGCTTTCCATTTCTCATGCTTCTGCTGCTGCACTTGATTGCTCGGAAGCATCATGTTCATCTATTGAATATCTAAATGCTGATCAATGTATCCAGCTTATTCCGACTAATTACCTCTGAAGTATATCCTAAATATATTCTCCTATTGCTGTAGCTTGTGGAAGCGTGTTGTCCAAAAAGGTGACGTGGTTATTGATGCTACTTGTGGCAACGGCCATGATACCTTGGCCCTTGTCAACTTGGTTGCTGATAACACCATACATGGAGGCCGTGTTTATGCTATGGACATTCAGAAAGTTTCTTTGGAGACTACTTCACTTTTACTGGATCAGTCTCTTACTCCAGATCTGGTGACACACTGATGGATGCTTCTGGACATTAGCTGTTTAAATCTTCAGATTTTTTTTTGCCCCCATCTCTGTATAGTCTGTTCAATGCTTGCCCATCGTTTGGCATTTTTATTCCTCGTCTTTATAGTTCACAAAAGTTGGCTCATGCATTTTGTACATCTGCATCGCTCTAAAATATTTTCAGATTCTACACAATGTATGAAGCCTAGAGATTTTGAAGACTACGATTGACTAAATGCATGCAATTAGTGCAATGTCATTTCCAGAGTTTGAGAGATCACTCTTAAGCAAAACAATTTGAAGATTTTCTAGTCCTTGCAGCCACATTAGCTGGCCAAGCACTGCATTTTACGTTTACATTTAATTCTTCAGAAATGCAACTGGACTTTAGAATACTAGAAGCAGGTCCAGCTGTAACCATCACTTCCTACGCTTGCATTTCTTAATATGCACCCCTTTTGTTCTCTTAACCGCACGTTTTACTAAATACCTCTGAAACCCAAAACTGAGGTACATTTGTTTGGTTTGAAATTTAAAGTGACTAAAATCTCTCTCTCTCAACGTAATTGAACCTTGTAAAGACTGGCTCTCCCATTTCACATTATTTCTAAATTTTATTGTCATGCTATTAAATGCAGAGAAAGCATGTTGAGCTGTTCCTGATGTGTCATAGCAAAATGGAGGAAGTTGTTCCCAGTGATGTTGCTGTAAGGTATTACTTCAGCTAACTTATGAGGATATACAGTGTGAGCTGTTAAAGTGCAATAATAAGCGTTGTCATTCCTAGTTGCACTACCATGATTGAATTGATGCCCTTTGCTGTTGCAATCTTTTATTCGTGTCATATTCTTTTTCTGTGCCTAGTGTAGGTTAGTTGTGTTCAACTTAGGATACCTTCCAGGAGGACAAAAGTGAATCCATGTTACCTGATTGATGTTGCCAGTATTTGTTGCTTGCTTCTGAGATTCCTGTCAGTTGATGTTAATTTGTTCTGCTGCTGTTATAGGAGTTAGGTTCACTGGTTGGTGCCGTTTCAAACCCAAAAAGTCCATTTGCTGCTGGTGTGGGTGGTTCAAAGGTTTCCTCAAAGATTGGAGGGATTGAATTGCTTTTGGAGCAGGTTGACATTTTGCTTTTGGGTGGGGAAATGATCTTCACATCCTACAAAGCTCAAGGTCTTTCAGTGGGATTGTCATTGGTAGAGGAGGACAAGTCATATGTTGCAACATCACTTCTTGAGGAGGCCAAGGCCAAAGGAGTTAGCCTGTTGCTGCCTAGTGATGATGTTTGTTGTAGGCAAGTTTGCCCTTGATGCCAACTGCCAGGTCTGCTTCTTAAAGCGCTGCTCCTTTGGAACTTTCTATGTGCATTCTGAAAAGATTAAAATTCTTCAATTGCGTGCACCTTATTATGCTGATTATCTCAGATGCTTTGGTCTTCGTGCATTTTTGGCCCAAATAGTGAGTCGAAAAGCTGAAAGTTTGTGTTTATTATCATAAGTCGTGCCGGCATCTGCTATTCCAGATGGCTGGATGAGACGGGATATTGGACTGGACTCTCTCAAAAGATTCAGTGAGGTCTTGGAGACTACAAAAACTGTAATATTGGATGGAGGCCTTTGAATTTGTCATCAGAACCGAGGCTTGTAAGCTTGGATATGGAATTTGGTTTCATATTTTTCATGAATGCGTCGGATAAGATTAGCCCTTGGGTTGGGGGGTTGGGGAAAGAAGGCAAGATGGAAGCACTCTGGTTGGATTGTCTATTACGAGGTCAAATGAGATCAAGATACTTTTGTTATACGAAGAATTGCTAACGGAGAAAGGCGTTGCAACTGTACTATGTTGCAGGGTTGCGTGTTTTGCGATTGGGCCTGCACCTTTCTTGAGGAATACTTGACACGTAATACCGTTATTGTAACCTGCATTAACTATTATAATAACGTGTTTTTTCTCTCTTTTTTTTCCCTTGTTTTGGTGTTGGGGAAGGAGGAGAGGAGGAGGAGGAGGGGGGTTGGTTAACGAAAGGAAGATTATGTTGTCGATAGAAATGCAAATATTTTTTGCAGGCCACTGAAAAGCAAGCAAGCAGACCTGAGCGCAAGGGACTCAAACATCACTGGAGGAGATTCGATTGCAGTTGCGGAGAAGGTTGGAGTTGCTAGTGGGCCAATGTCCACCGGGGATGGTGCCAGTTTGGAGCTCAAGTATGATTGCTCTTGACCAAACTACTCCAGTTCCTGCGCAGGCAAAAACCAAAACTAAAATTCTTGTTAAACCTAATGCCTTTGTTTATGGTATTTGGGGTTTGTAAAGGGGAGATGTAGGAAGAGAGGAGTTGATTTCGATGTGCGCATTTGGGTGAATGTAAGGTCTGATTTTGGCCTGCCCTTGTGAGATCATCCGAACAAACAAAGCGAAATGGTAAGCAAAGTTTTATTTTGTACCAAGAGCAATTTTATTTTATGTTTTGGGGGAAAAAGAAAAGAATCCGTAACCGCAATAAACATAAGGGGTTTTGATGGAGTGTCGGACTTGGGAACGTTTTGGAAGCTAGGAGTTATTTGGGAAAGAATTGAAATCGTAGTAGCTGAGCGCGCTGAATGATGAACCGACTCTCGGACATTGTAAATTATAGTTGCAAAACCGGTAATTAAACAACCTCTGGTGGCTCCCCCACCCCCCCAACACAAACAAAAACCCGAAGGATCGATAAAAGCGTATAGAACCAGGAAACCGCAGCAGCAAGCCATCCATTCCAGCTCTTGATATGTCATAAAAAAACTAGATCGGAGTACTTGGAAATGGATGGACGGCACTGGACTCCCTAATATGGCGGAAATTGGTGGGGGAGATTGGTTCCAATGGGCCTAAACAAAACCACTGGCTAGGCGAAGACGGAACGGTTCGAAAGTTTCTTGACCCAAAAACGAAAGATGGGAGCAGAAGTTTCTAGATTCTCCTTTCCATTCTGAAATTCTAGCCAAAACTACTGGCTGGACGAAGACGGAATGGTTCGAAAGTTTCTTGACCCAGAAGACAGAAAACAAAACATTGGGTAGCAGATTCTCCTTTCCATTCTCAATACCACTCTAGTCTGCCACTACTACCGTACTAGCAGTAGTATATGAGTAAGTAGTGGGTGTACGTAATTGGCACTCTCTTTTTATTAGTGAAGTTTAAAACCTCCATCACCATCACCTAAGCCGCGGACAGTAGAGTGAAGCTGTTATAAGTCTCCCAGCATCTCATCCATCAGTGTGTATGTTTGCTTGATCGTCATCGTCTCTCCCAACTCTCATTCAATTCGAGCTTCCTAGTATTCTCTTTTTCTTTTCTTTTTTTTTTTTCTTTGGTTTTGTTTTGGGTGTAGTTTAGAAGTTAAATAAATCAATCAACCAATCAATTTATCATTTTTTGTCCCGTTAGTTTTGGTTTACTCATGGAGTAGTAGTTACTAACATGTAATCCAATCAATTTTTTTGCTGGTTCTCCCCTCCCATCCAGGTTACAGATTCAATCATCGCCCGGAATAGCAAGTAGTACTAACAGTAACTAGAATTACAGTAGGTATGGCGACGAAGAAGAGCGTGGGGTCACTCAAGGAAGCTGATCTCAAGGGGAAGAAGGTTTTTGTGAGGGTGGATCTCAACGTTCCTTTGGACGACAACTTCAACATCACCGACGACACCAGAATCCGAGCCGCTGTCCCCACCATCAACTACTTGATCGGCTGCTCCGCTAAAATCATCCTCGCTTCTCACCTGGTGCGTATATATCTTCACTCCCTTACTATTTTCTACATATTCTTTGCTGCCGCATTTCCTGTTTTAAGCCCATGTTAGATGTTACTACCATTCTTCCTGATCACTTGAAATTTTAGATCAATGAATATTTCATTTTATTCGGTCCTCTCTTTTTTTTCTTTTTTTTTCCAATTCTAAATTTTGCTCTTATTTTATGGCTCTGCAAATATGTCTTTCTAATGCCTTTATGTTTGTTAGATCAAGTGTTGTTGCAAAAAAAGACATTAGACCCCCTTTTTTTGTGCTACGAAGCTACGGGTTAACTCCTCAACTGATGTGTCAATTCTCTTTACTCCCTCTAGCCGGCCTGAGTGAAGGGAGGGTGCCCCAACTGGCTATTGCAGTTAGGGGCAGTCAAAAATGTACTCCAGGCTGTCCCCGTGAGCCCAAAAGACGTGAGGGGGAGAATAGACAAAAACAGTGAGTGAACCGGCAATTATATGATCATCTGGTCTTCTTTTTTGCATAGAATGAAGCTCTTTTTTTTTGGGGAGTACATAATATTTGATTCAATCACTATAAGTATCCAAGTTTCTCAAGTATAAGATGTCAAATAAAACAATCGGAAACAAGAATGAACTTTTTTTATTTGATCATCCGAATGTACTTGTTCTATTGCCTCGTCTCGGGATTATCTTGAACATTCCTTACATAAATTGCTTGGGGGTGAAGTGGTGAACTCCGTGGATGCCATATTATTTGTATTCACTATGAATGGAGGTTATTTGCTCTTGTAATTGTCAGCTTTTTGCTTCGTAGCAAATGAAATGATGTATTTGCCTGGATATTGGTGTCAGGGACGTCCAAAAGGTGTCACACCAAAATACAGCTTGAAGCCTCTTGTTCCCAGACTCTCTGAACTCCTTGGGGTGGAGGTCTGTTGTTTAGCGTACTTCCGAATTTTACTGTTTTTCTACATTAATTTTCACAGGATAAGGGGGGCTCTCAGCACTTACCTTCTATATCCACACTCAAGTAGGTCATTATCGCAAACGATTGTATTGGTGAAGAAGTAGAGAAATTGGTGGCTTCCTTGCCAGAAGGTGGAGTTTTGCTCCTGGAGAATGTCAGATTCCACAAAGAAGAGGAGAAGAATGATCCTGAATTTGCAAAGAAGCTGGCTTCTCTTGCAGACTTGTATGTCAATGATGCTTTTGGAACTGCACATAGAGCCCATGCTTCCACCGAAGGGGTAGCCCAGTATTTGAAGCCTGCGGTTGCTGGATTTCTGATGCAGAAGGTTTGTTTTTCACTTTTGAGTGTTACTCTCTTCGCGCACATGCGCTTGCAGTGTAACTTTTACCCTGTGCTTTCGTTCCTCAGGAGCTTGATTATCTCGTGGGAGCTGTGGCAAATCCCAAGAAACCATATGCTGCAATCGTTGGTGGTGCAAAGGTTTCAACCAAGATTGGTGTAATCGAGTCACTGTTGGCTAAGGTTGACATCCTCTTACTGGGTGGTGGAATGATCTTTACATTCTACAAGGCCCAAGGGCACTCTGTTGGATCCTCGCTTGTGGAGGAGGACAGGCTTGATCTTGCCCTATCCCTCATTGAGAAGGCCAAGGCCAAAGGAGTTCCCCTGTTGCTTCCCACTGACGTAGTTGCGGCTGACAAGTTTGCTCCTGATGCAAACAGCAAGGTCAGAAATCAAACCCATCTTTGACTCTCTTCCCCCCTATGCCCAAACTTGTCGAAATAGTTGGCAAGAGCATTGATATAGATTGAAGTAGTTAGGTTGTGATCGGGTATAGTAAGAATTGGGTGCTTTTTATATATATTTTTTGAAATGGATCAACTCATCCTGCAGGTTGTTCCAGCTTCCGGAATTCCTGATGGTTGGATGGGATTGGATATTGGACCTGATGCTATCAAGTCATTTAGTGAAGCTTTAGATGCCACTAAAACCATTATTTGGAATGGACCAATGGGGGTTTTCGAGTATGACAAATTTGCCACAGGAACAGAGGTTTGACATAGTAGTATTTAATTGTACCTTAAAAGGTACATTGATGGCGATTGCATATATGAAAAATAAATGCTTTATTGATGTTGTTTGTATGTGTCAGGCTATTGCGAAAAAATTGGCTGAGCTTAGCGGGAATGGAGTGACAACAATCATTGGAGGTGGTGATTCTGTAGCTGCTGTGGAGAAGGTGGGGCTTGCAGACAAGATGAGCCACATTTCAACAGGTGGCGGTGCAAGCTTGGAACTTCTTGAAGGGAAATCTCTCCCTGGAGTACTTGCCCTTGATGATGCTTAGAAGAGCTCTTTTTTTTTTTTTTTTGTTTGGCAATACGCCTACCTCAGATATTCGCTGCATATCTTGCTTTGCCCCTGAGCGGATTAGATCTTGAAAAATAGCTGGCCGTGTCTTGGAAATAAATTTTGCCCGTTGTTATGCATTACTTTGTGCTAATGTTGGTTGGTTCTGAAACTGCTGCGGTTTTTGAGGTTATGTTTGCTGTTCGAGTTTGCGACCATAATCGAATCCTGCTCTGCGCTGCTGCTAAGCTATAAACTTCGGTGGGCGGACAATAATGTCAATCACTTTTAAAAGATCTTTATGAGCACTGATCCAGCTCTTATTCTCATGTAAGGCGGTGCGTGTACATTATACCGGCGGTTGCTAGACTGGCCGCAGTGAATGATCCGATCCGTTAGAACTGGATTTGCCTCCGTGGACAATTGACGTTGACTTCCCATCGTTTCAGGGAAAAAAAAGGACAATGACGTTGACTTGTAGATGCGGCATGGACATGGAGAAGGAAGCAGGTGAACTCCTAATTATTACAGTAGTACTTATGTAACCAGCCGGTGATAGACAAAATTAATGAATGAATCCGTCAGCAAAAGTGCAAGCAATTTAGCATCCCGGGATTTTTTTTTTGGTTGTGAAACGAGGACGATCTTGACCCGACCCGAGATACGGTTGTTGTCCCGCATGCGCGACCCGCCTTGTGACTGGTGAACTATATTATATACCAGTATATTATTTTTTTCAATTTAAAATTGGTTTCCGTAGGAGGTTTTAGCCTTCGCCGCGGCCGGTGCTGTAATCAGGAATCACGATCGAAGAGGATGACGTCTGGCCTGGCCATTCACAATATTATGATGCGTATTTGCTGCCATACTGCGACTGCTACGATTACTAGTAGTCGTCGTCATTTATTCTCCAAAAGTTGTAGTAATATCCAGTCGGCGTCGGGGTGGGGCAATCTCAAACGCTTTCTGTCTCTGCGACCGCCACCGCCACCGCCAACGCTACTGCCTCACTGCTTTTCTTCTGCTTCGTCCTTATCCTCCATCACAGATGCATCCTCAGTTGCAACCACTTCCACTCCTGCTCTTTCAGGTAAAGGTTCTTACGTTCCCTTCTCTTATTGTTCCTTTCCGGGCTTTAGCTCCACCACTGCTTCTTATTATTATTATTATTATCATCATTAAAATATTATCTTTTCTTTAATATATGGTTTTGTGGATTAGAGGAGGACGTCATGATGGGATATGTATTTGGGAAGAAGAAGGCCACTCAAGTTGCTCACTCGTCGGTATTCCTCCCTCTTTTCTTAAGTCTTCCACTTTCTTTTTTCGCTTCGTTTTTTTCAACCTTTTTTTTTAATAATTATGTTGGTTGCTCTTTCCTTGCTTTGTACTAACACTAGTACTCTATAGGAAATGATTGATGAGCACCCCGTTTAGTTTCTTGCTTTCCATTTCTCATGCTTCTGCTGCTGCACTTGATTGCTCGGAAGCATCATGTTCATCTATTGAATATCTAAATGCTGATCAATGTATCCAGCTTATTCCGACTAATTACCTCTGAAGTATATCCTAAATATATTCTCCTATTGCTGTAGCTTGTGGAAGCGTGTTGTCCAAAAAGGTGACGTGGTTATTGATGCTACTTGTGGCAACGGCCATGATACCTTGGCCCTTGTCAACTTGGTTGCTGATAACACCATACATGGAGGCCGTGTTTATGCTATGGACATTCAGAAAGTTTCTTTGGAGACTACTTCACTTTTACTGGATCAGTCTCTTACTCCAGATCTGGTGACACACTGATGGATGCTTCTGGACATTAGCTGTTTAAATCTTCAGATTTTTTTTTGCCCCCATCTCTGTATAGTCTGTTCAATGCTTGCCCATCGTTTGGCATTTTTATTCCTCGTCTTTATAGTTCACAAAAGTTGGCTCATGCATTTTGTACATCTGCATCGCTCTAAAATATTTTCAGATTCTACACAATGTATGAAGCCTAGAGATTTTGAAGACTACGATTGACTAAATGCATGCAATTAGTGCAATGTCATTTCCAGAGTTTGAGAGATCACTCTTAAGCAAAACAATTTGAAGATTTTCTAGTCCTTGCAGCCACATTAGCTGGCCAAGCACTGCATTTTACGTTTACATTTAATTCTTCAGAAATGCAACTGGACTTTAGAATACTAGAAGCAGGTCCAGCTGTAACCATCACTTCCTACGCTTGCATTTCTTAATATGCACCCCTTTTGTTCTCTTAACCGCACGTTTTACTAAATACCTCTGAAACCCAAAACTGAGGTACATTTGTTTGGTTTGAAATTTAAAGTGACTAAAATCTCTCTCTCTCAACGTAATTGAACCTTGTAAAGACTGGCTCTCCCATTTCACATTATTTCTAAATTTTATTGTCATGCTATTAAATGCAGAGAAAGCATGTTGAGCTGTTCCTGATGTGTCATAGCAAAATGGAGGAAGTTGTTCCCAGTGATGTTGCTGTAAGGTATTACTTCAGCTAACTTATGAGGATATACAGTGTGAGCTGTTAAAGTGCAATAATAAGCGTTGTCATTCCTAGTTGCACTACCATGATTGAATTGATGCCCTTTGCTGTTGCAATCTTTTATTCGTGTCATATTCTTTTTCTGTGCCTAGTGTAGGTTAGTTGTGTTCAACTTAGGATACCTTCCAGGAGGACAAAAGGCGCTTATAACAAGGTCAGAAACAACTTTACTTGCGTTAGAGGCTGCCAAGAGAGTACTAGCACCTGGGGGCCTCATCAGCATAGTGGTTTATGTCGGCCATCCTGGCGGAAGGTGATCATTTACTTGTCTAATTTTTCTCTTCAAGGATTGTTCTATGTATACATGAGATGGTGTTTTAGACATTCCGTCGCTTGAAATTGAGATAATTGCACATGGATCCCTTTGTGCTTATGATTTTTGGATGAGTAATAAGCTTGAATAAGCATTGTTCCTCCAACTGTTATGCAAAAAGCAGCATCCTAAAGGGTGAGATGATTGTTTTGCTCTGGATGACGTTAAATACTTAAAAGCCCTTTAGGAGTGCAGTGGCTTTTGGTCTAGTGCTTGTCAAATCTAGAGCTTCAAATTTTAGCTTTGCTTGGAAGTGCTTTCTAGCCTGAAAGAAGCAACTAAATCAGTACTTTTGAAATTTCATCATACAATGCACCACACTCCCACACGAGCTCTTAGTTTTTTTTGTAGAAATTGACTCCAATACATGTGTGATGGTAGTGCCTTCTATTTTTATATGCTTGTTGTCAGTTGTTGCGCAACTGTTATTGATGTTTCAGACATTTGTCTCCTGTATTTGTTATAGGGAAGAGTTTGAGATGGTCCAGGCATTTGCTTCTGAATTACCAGTTCAGAATTGGGTCTGCACCAAGCTCCAGATGTTAAATAGGCCGTCAGCTCCCATGATCATTCTTCTATACAGCAGATAGTGAATAACAAAGATTAATGTAAAATCTTTGCTTTCTAATTCTTCCCAAGTAACTTTTGTACTGAATATCCTGCTAAACCATTTCTGTTGACACCATATTGAACATCTCTTAAAATCTTGTTTTGCCAGTTTAAGTATATAATGGATTGGTTTCGATGTATATCAGGTAGAAAGGAAAGAAAGCATGAAATGGTAGCAATCCTTCTGTCGTACCAAGAACAAAACCATGAGATGAAGTAAATGACACCAGAAATGCTAAAGATTTTTTTATTACTCTGGATGCCATGTGAACTGTATAAGAGCCTTGCCTAATTGCACATTTAAGGTGGAGTGCAAGGCAAGTAAGGCTTATCATAAACTACAGGAACAATAACCACAAAAAGAACAGAAGTGAAAACGGTGGTCTATACCCAAATTTACAAGGGAGATTTTGTGATGATCAACCAATTCTCAACAGGAAGAAGAGCAAAGGCTAGCATCCTTAATTTTGTAACGATATAGGACTCGTTTCCTTCTAAATTGTCCGTTTTCAATGGTGATCACAACCTTCCCAGGTTCATTGCTTTTAAAAGAGTTACGAACAGATCCTTCCTGCCACCCTATCCTCCTCTCTTTCTTGACAATGATGGTATAAGAGCTTTCATTGCTTGGAACAAATTCCTCTTTGTAATTTACCTCCCAACCTATCACAGTCAGGTCCCACACCAAAGTGCTTCCGGCCTTTGTTTCCAAGAAAAATAGAAGCATTTTAGGTCACTGTAGCTATGCAATGTGAAAAGACAGACACTAAGGATGGACTAAATCCATGAGATGCTCGCTCGTTTACCTTTGGTGTAGGGATCTCGATGGTTTCAGTTGATCCTGCCTTGACGGTGACATCAAAAACACCATCGTCCGTGGAAAAATCAGGATCGTTCTCTCTCTTGAGCCCTCCATAATTGACTGGGATTTCCTCCCCAGCAATGTACCTGTAGTCAGGTCAGCCAAGCAATGCGGACAAGATCATTTAATTTTGAAACCACAGACAGGATACAGATATAGAAAATTTTATTACTTGAGAAGGGTTTCTGTGACCCTGTTTGCACGCGCAAACACGAATTTGCTCTTAGTCCTTTGTGTCAAGAAAGGAGATAGAAGTGCGTTGAAGGCATAATACCAGAACGGGACGTTGATGAATATCTACAAAAGCAATATGTACTTTTTGAACACAGGAATGAGTTCTCAAAGGATAGCAATGAAGATGAGAAAAATTACAAAAATAGAGAATTGAACACAAACGCAAGTTGCTTGACTCACATTTGTGGCTACAAATTCAGGATAGTTTTCCTGAAGCAGGGCCACAGCTTGTCTAAGGGCAAGACGGAGATCCTTCCTCGATGGTCCGGGGGCATCCTTAAGATCGTTGATTTGGAGCAATGAGGAAACTCCCTCGGGCCTGAAATCGAGCTTCTGAATCTGCCTCTCCATCAACTGCAGCCTCCACCTTAAAAATTTCTCCCGGCCCTCTTGTGTTCCAAAAGTCTTATTGTACAAATCATCATTCCCAAATACTGCATAGACATTGTAACAAACCGGGTGGCCTCTACGGTCCACTCCACTCATGGAGCACATTGACTCATAATCACACCCAAAATCTTCTTCCAGAATCGAGTCAATGTTATTCTCCTTCCGATATTGAAGGGTGCTTCTCAACATTTCCCAGGCATCATTGACCTTAAACTCTCTGGCTTTCAAGAACTTCAACAGAATAACGTCTGTTCCCTTGTGTCCTCTACTTGGCATTAAAGGCACACCCCAGATGCAGAGGGACGAAACACCTGCATCGTTGCCAACACATTTAACCTCCTCTTCTTCATCTTCTACCTTAGCCTTTCCTCTGTCTGACTTTCCCTCATATACATCATTGTGTTTCTCGTTTTCTATCGACTCTATTTGTTTTTCTTTTGGCTCGCATTTCTTGGATTCTTCCTCATTTGGATCAGGCTCTTCCTTCTGCTCCCGCTTCTTCTCCTGGAACAGTTTGTTTGCCAAAATGGCTTCTTCAACAATCGATCTAAGTTCTTCCAATGCCTTCCTTTCATTCTCCTTTAAATCAGAAAGCAGATCACTTTCGTCGCTTTTCAAATAATCCCCCTTATCGGTTGCAACGGATGACGAAGTCTCTCCTGCTACATCAACTGCATCTCCCTGCTTCTCCTCTGCATTGGGTGATGAAACGTGAACCTTCTCTTTTGCATCTAGATTATCTTCCGTTTTAGGGGATGAAGAAGGCTCGCCTTGGGCATTCTCTTCAACCTTCTCCTTTGTTCTGGGTGATGTCGATTCCTCACCTCTATCATTCGCATCTACCTCCTCCTCTACTTGGGGTTGCTTCTGTTTCCGTAACTCTCCATTTTCTTTGCCGACCTTGGCACCTTCTTCTTGAGCAGCCTCATTGGCCTTGACATCTGGAGATGGTCCCGCTGGTTCCCGAGAAACATCAATATCGGGCGCCCTGATACCTTCTGGTTTTGCCGCCTCTGCCATTCTTGAAATTTCTGTTGGACGTCTATTTACGTGCAAGGGAAATACCGAGACCTACACACGGGCCCGAAGAACGGAAAAAGAGACAGAGAAAGCCACTGAGAGAAGTGTTTACAGATAAAGCGCACAAATCTTACACCACTCGTTGTCAGCCCGTTTCGCTCCTCATTTTCCTCTCCTCCGTCTGTTTCTTTGTTTGACAACAGCGATGTGGCAAAAAGAGGCGGGGGGACATCCCTGCACCAGTCACCTCCATGGTTAGAACGTCGCACACTTCCTTAACAAACGCGGCTGTGTTCAACAATTAGGTAGTGCACGCCACACAGCATATCATTTAATTGAAGACTTAACCGTGCTCCCGTCCACTAGCCAGATTTCCTAGTTCCCATAAAGATTGAAGCAAAATAAATTTATAACGACATCGAATTGTGTTCTTGGATCCACCACCCCAGAAAATGAAAAAAATTCGAGGTACATAATCAAATTCCGTTGAATACAACTTCTTTCGTCAGGATCACTGATGACCAGTGAACCAGGGCAAAAACTTGAAATTCGTGTTTAGAAGCATTATATTATTTTTTATGCAGAAGTTGAGACAGGCGTATCCGGATTCGCTCCCCACTCTGTCCACGATCCATCATATACAGCAACATCAGTCTTCCCGAGTCGATGAAGGCCCTACGTGAATTTAAGACATTATTAGATAAGGTAAAAGACACTTTGGTCTTTAAAACCAGGACGACAGGCTTCCCAATATGTACTTTCTCTTGCATGGCTGCTTATGGGGTTCTGATCAGGGAGAAGTCAAAGCCAAGAAATTTTACCAGTGCAAGAATACAAGCAGTTACACCAGTGCCACATGAAGTTATGATCGGCTCGTCCAAAGAGATGCCTGAAACAGGAGCACACGCTTAGGAAGTTGATCAAATCCTTAGCAACAGCAACACTAAACGACAGTTAATCATAGTCACAATGCAGCAAACAATTCATCAAAAGAAGCTTATAATATATCATAGGGATAAGGATAAAGTGAAACAACAATTGGTGAGCTAACTTGTAATACCCCAACTTAATTTTGTCTTTCCATTTGGAATTCTTGATGCCAAAATCTTCAACCTACAACCAACCATCTTAGACTTTGGTAAACCTTACAAAACAAATGAAGGCAGGGTTCTGGAGTCAAAATTAACCATGTTTGCTACTTTGATCCCAACAAGTTAAAGGATTATCTCATTTTTCTTGCACTTACAACCCAAAAATACCCTAATGATTATCAACTCCAACTAGGGCATGGCAATTGTTCACCCTAAGTGTTAACCATTTTGGTAACTTTTTAACTTGTATATCAAATTGTCTCAAAGGATTTCAACTTAGTTTGTTGCCAAAACTGCCTTTTTTATCCGTATCACCTTTAAGTTGTTTGATTTGCTTGGGGATTAGATATGCCAAGAGTGCGCGAAAGCTTTCTTACTGTCTACATGAAAGGCGTACTTTACAGCACACAAATACAGAAGTGCTACTACAATAGTAGGCTTTTGCGCACGATCAGACAAAGAATTGCACCACTTTTTACCTCCTCCTTCAAATTTTTTCTTCAGCTCATCAGCAGACAAGAGTGACTGTGAGCCATCCAACATCTGCAAATGACCCGAGAGTGTCGTGAATCATCATAAGAAACCATCAAGTACAGACAATCATCGAAAAAGATGTAGCCACAATAGAGCTGAAATTGACTTCCAAAATTATCATGTCCGAAGTAGAAGACGGAAAAGACATAAAATCAAGAATAGCATCAACTCATTGGTGTGGCATCCAGGACTAAGCTTTTGTCCTTTCTTTTGGACGCTTGATGCCTAATGGACACCGAATGAAGCATCATAAGTTACTATAACGTACGGATAGCCTTCAAGAAAGATATACCCACAAAAGAGCCTATTTCAGCCCAAAATTCATAATGTGTGATGTGGAACACACAAAAGTTAAAATCAAGCGTAGCATGTAAACTTTTAAAATTACCAGGATCATGAGACCTGTCAACTCTGAATACTATTTCCAGCAAGATATGTCAAGAGTGCAAATGATTCCAATTTTGAAAATGTCATAAATATACATGAAACTAAACTTTGTATCTCTTTTTGCCAACTAAAATGCCACAATAAGCTGGAGTTAAGAAACAATTAGCTCAGCTTATCATCTCTGCATAGTATGTACACATCATTTAAAAACTGAAGTGTCACCTGAGGAAATGGAACACACTTGCTTCCAGGTACATGACCACTTCTGATTCCCTTTCGAGGCTCTGGTGCAACACCATCAAACCTGAAAGAGAATGAAAGGAAAAGTCACTAAACAGACAATAGAAAAATTCTGAATAAGATCACTTGATACACATTCAAATAAAAGCATGTTGCCCTTGCTCTACAAGCTAAAAGGAAACATAATCAATTGCCCTGAAAGATCATTATAGAAAAAGCTCATTCCCCCCCCCCCCACAAAAAGTAACTGGTAAGGATGGTAACTGACTGTCAGTCCCAGCAAAATCATTCAATTTCAGAGAAAAGTCAAATCTGTTTGTCCTAAAACCTTGACAGCGTTCTATTTTGCAAATGAATTTGATCTTTCAATTTCCAAAGAGAAAAAGATGGCTTTTTTTATAATTAGGAGGAGTTGCTCAATCAAGTATAGCATTTTCCGGACACAGAGACCAATTCAGAAATGCAGCAGCAAAATTTGATCATGTGGTTCTCAATTTAAGAGCTTTAAATATAATGTCATCAAGTACTTTTAAGCCAAAATAATTAACTCTAGAGGTACCTGTGAAATATAACTATCTAGTTCAAATTAGATAAACACTTCTAGGTAGAAATGCCACTATAACCAAGAAGTTTTAATTATAAGTTTCATGTGAAATTCTACTAATGAGGCAAAACAAACCACTTTATGTGTAAGTTCAGTGAATAGTTCACACGTAGGTGCAGAATGAAAAGCTACCACAAAAACACACCCTCCTTATGCATAAAACCACTAATCCTAGCATCTAAAGCAAGAAGTTGAAAACCACAAATAAATGTTATTAATGACACAGTAAACAGTAAGTTACAAAAAATACCTTGGCTTTGCGCGAGCATCTATATGTTGATGTGTCTTCTCTTCAATATTCTCCCTAACCTGAAAGTTTTGTGAAAATGCATCAAAAATCCAGAATGAGAAAATGTCAACTATTCTGCTACCTGTGGTATTATCTTCTGCAATGATGTTCAAAGCCCAACCTAATGCGCAGACTCACTGCATGCCACCTTAACCAAAATTGAAGAACCCACTCTATCCTCAGACACATATACATGCATGAACATGCATGTATATTATCTTTCACTTATTTAGCGGAACTAACCAGCCAACCTCTTGAATTGTTACTGCAACTATTACTATTTCAATTAACTGTTCTTTTGGTGGCAGAGAATCAGTGTAGAAAACATATTACTTCCATTCAACGTCCTGAACACTGATGCAAACAGGTTATACAAATGCAATCTGACTCACAATTCTACCAGAAACTACCTGAGAAAAAACTCAAGGTAACTACAAGTGCTAGAAAATTTTGAAAAGGAAAATTAAACAGGGTACTAACTTGGTCAAGTGTCCAAACAAGATTCGGCTGAAATTTGGTTTGGAATGTGATTGGCCCAACCTGCAGATACACAACAGCTCCTGATGACATACAATGAATATACAGGAACTAGAACTGAGAGAAAAACCTATTGAATCATCATAATTAATGACAGATATATCTATCACCCAGAACTATAGATTACAGAACAATCAAATCAGTCATAGGTACTACAATCGATATCAAATATACTCCATGAAATAAATCAAAACTTACCCTCTGCCCCTGATATACTTTCTCTATTGCCTCACTGGCAGCACTAGCTTTCAAGATTGCATCTCCAGATGCACTTGATTCAACATCAAATCCTGAAGCACGCCATCTTGGTAGTCCCCCATCTAGAACCCATATTCTATCATGCCCAAAAACTCGAAACATCCTGTTTAATGCCAATGGAACGGACAGGTATCTATTGGTAAAAAACTACAAAAAGAAGGAATTACTGCAGACTAGCATATTAACTCAGAAGGAAAAGTTTTAATATACTGGGGCTTACCACCAAACACGAGCTGCACTAAAAATTCCTTTACCATCATAGACGACCAACCCATCTTTATTTTCAATACCAAGCGCAGAAACAGCAGCAGCAAATGCTTCTTCTGATGGCAACATATGTGGCAACTGATACATGCAATTTGGGCAATTAAAGTTCTTTAAATCATCTATTGAAGAATAATTATGATCAAGATCTACACATTGATTATTTGAACAGCTGACAAACATTGAACAAATTTGACAAATCTTTGATAAAAGAAGACAACAAAACTGCCAGTATTGACAAGTCTTCAACAGAAGCAGCCATGAATTTTCCAATTGGTTCATCTCGGAACTACATATGATACATATGCTGAGAACTAAACTATAAACATACTCACACAAGAGATAAGAGATAATGGGCACAGAACATCAACACATATTGTCAGCTTAGAAGCTAGAGCCATCCACAGAAAGCACATATAATTCACAAGCAGATTTGAACATCTTACATTTGTAGCTCGATCTGATATGCCATCTAAGTCGAAAAAAAGTGCACCAGGAATGTGTGCAACCTGTTTGAGCAATGCAATTAAATTGTAAAATTCAACATAAGGACACTTAGTTAAAATGCCACAAGAACCTTGACAAGGGATATAGCAGAGTAGTACAAAGTAACAACGGATACACATTAGAACAACATAAGTATCTGGCAGATATTTCTTGATTACGTAAGAGTAATCCAACAACCGCATGGTGAAGCAAGCCAGCAATAATAAATAGAAGAAACAGGATTAAAACCTGATACTCCTGGAGTGGATTCCTCTGCTCATCCGGCATATACCAAGATGCATCCAGAACCTGAAGCGATTAAATGGTTACAATATGATTCCATTTAATCTGGCTCTACAATATTATGCATAAGATGCAGTCAAGTATAAAACCATGCAATTTTGATTAGCCCAAGATATCCATCTAAGTGACAAGGCTAGCAGGTAAAATACGGATGCATGCACACTAAT